AAGGGGGTCTGATGGTTCTCTTCAAAAGTCGATCTAGAGGAAACCAAAACGGCATGGTCAGTACACTAATTTTTATAGTTTGAGCCATTTGATAAAAAAGAGAATCCTAATCCACTCCTTATTATCAAGAATAAAATGTATATGTTCAAGTGGTTCAATCGATGGGGAACTGGAACGACTCAGACAAGTCCCTACAGTGAATGGATTTACTCCAAGATTTGTCGAGAACACCATGAAGTTAAAGCAAAAGCCTGACAGAACCTAGACGGGGTCTAAGAAACTGCCATTTAGGAGTGTTGAATTTAAAGGTGATACCACAGCTGAGATCCCAAATAATCGCTTATGCAGATCACTGAGGAAAGCTTTCTTTATGGTTGAGCCAGGGTTCAATTTCTACAGCCGACAAATGATCAATGGATGTATGAAGGGTAAACAGCCACTTTGAGTCATTACAGTGTGTGTTTATGAATTCACCTGCTCGTGTGGCGCTAGGTATATTGGCCGTGTAAAGTGTACACTTTGCAACCGCATCTCTGAAAATTATCCAGCGTGGTTAGCAAAAGAACAATGTGAGACAATTACTAGTTTGATTCTCGAGCACTTGATGAACTCAAGCCAAGCAGCTCCATCAGAGTCATCTTTCAAGATCACCAACAACGTGAGGCCAAATGGTACAAAGGGCGTCAGGTTTCGGCTTTTGTGTTTGGCGGAGGCGCTGGCAATTCATCAATACAACCTTGAAATCTGTATATAGAAAAAGTTTGTCTAGTCTCTTATTCTACCTCAGTCTTAACCTCCTCTAGTAGTTCCGTATAAAAAATTTTAATTTTCTTCTTTTTCTTTCACTTTTCAATTTACCGTTTAGTTTGGTTTTACTTTAATAATTAATTCACTATTATCACTCTCATATGTTGCTTTTGCACATTTTCACACCCTCTTTTCGATTGTTAAGTTGACGCTCAACTAACTGCATTCTCACTCAATAGCAAATTTAACCTTTCCATATTTGCGCCATTGAGTGCCACGTAATTTACAACTTTTAACTTTCACTTGTTAAGCCACTTCCGAGTAATTATATCAATTTTGTCACTCCATATTACTCAATAATAGACCACTATATAATTTATGCTTAGTATAAATGGGACTGTACGGCTTCTGAAGATGATTTCCTCGATAAAGGAGATTTTGTTTCGCTGAATTCACCCTTATATTCTTCATGACTCAATTCGTACTTTCGGTGATTTACAGCACCTCTAATTCTTGATATAAGTATAAAACTTGGGCACTGTGGTAGAGTATAACTTCATTATGAATAAGATTTTATTTTGATAAATCACAGTGTTGTACAGTAATATTAACCAGTGACATTTTGAACACAAGTTATTGTTCATAATCATATCAAGTCACTCACACAAATTTTGATTTGACTATGAGCACTAGTTTGTGCTCGAAGCGTCATCAGTTAAGATTACTGTACAACACTGTGTGATTTATTAGGATAAAATCTTATCTATAAGGGAGTTACAGTTTTATTTCTGTCTTGCATTCTTATGGATACTTCTTCGCCTTTTTACGCTAGTTTTTTTGTTTGTTTTCATCTATTTCGCGTTTCCATTTAGGTGCCGTTCCTCCCTGTATTTTGATATGAACTTCCATGAGTGTCCATTTTCGATCAGATTCTTTTCGATGACTGTGAGTTTTTCTTCGCTCTTTTCTTCCTCCCACAACGCTCTGCTGTAGGGTGTTTTCGTCAAGCTCTGTTTAGAGCCGTTCGGAAGAAAACTGTGATAATTCAAGAATTAACCAGTCCAGGTTTATTTCCTCTAGCTAGTAAAACTGTATAATTTTTGGGATTACTTCATTAGGTTCCAATTGAAGCATAGAAACATTGACTGCATCAATATTAGTTGTGATAATGCGAATCTTTTCCTTTATGCTGAGTGCAGGAAATTTTCATATTGACTTAGAGCAATAAATATCTGTCTTGCTTTCGCCGTCCTCTCGTTGACGTCATCATCTGTGACGCGTGTAACTCATACGATCCTAAAGTGATCTTTTTCAAACGTATTCTGTGAATGATTGACGCTGGTTGACTTTGACAGGTATGCATCTTTATCACCTGTCTTCACTCTCCTCGCCTGAAGTTGTTTCTCTATTGTCTGCCTCCTCCCTCAAACTAATTTCTGTCCGAAATCTCCAGTTTTGAATGATGCTAGACAGAATTCCTCCATGAAGTCCAGATGTCCTGGAGTCTTCTTGTCGGCCCAGCTTATTGCTATCTGCTACTACCCATTGTAAGCGCATAGTTAATTCAACCACAAAAATGGAGAAATCGTCGGTGATACTAGGCTGCTTCTACAATTATTATCAGTGTAATTTGTTTGTGAGTACATTGAAGCTGGTGGACAACCACTTATGGAACTATTATCTCCACTGCACATGAAGTTTCATGCAAGTGTATGAATGTGTATGTTTGTGTGTATTTCACATACATTGCCCACGTGTCAGTAATACCAGATGCTGAGACTGGAATGTCAGTAGTTAAATAAACGCATGTATACATGATGGATAAGCTTATTTCAAATATCTCGCAAAGATGTGGTATTATTAACTGGCGGACACTTTGAGCAGAATTTATCGCTCTTATTCATATCAGTTTAGACACTGCGGCTCGTGATTTGTTTTATAGACATATCTCTCACTTCCAGTCGATGTTTCTTGCTAGTTCACAGATCTCCGTTATGGGCGTATCATCATCTGGTTTGAACGTGTGAGATGTTAAATTTGTAGACAGAGATTCAGTGAGCCACCTCTCTCCCCAGCTAAATATGTTATTTATCAACAATTTCACCCTGTCTCACCGTATTTTCTGCAATGCAATATCTAACCTTCCTTCTTGGTTATTTAACTTAGCAGGGTCAATCTTTGTAGATCTAACTAAATTTTTGTGTTCCAATAATCTACTTGATCCTGATCTATTAGTTTGACTAACGTAAAGTCCCTGATAGTTATTACGTGGCATTTAGTAAATTATCTTATTCTTCCCTATTATGTTGGACCATTAAAGCTAGAGAGTTTATCCCTGAGTTAGGTGGTTAGTTTAAATGCTACCATAATTTATTTTACTTCATTATTTGAATCTTCTGGCTTACTAGTTATGCTCAGATTTCAACACAACGAATGCTACATCTAAATTTCCCTATTACAACCTGGGAGAAGGACTTAACTTCCTAATGGCTTTATGTTTATAATTTTGCTAATTATTTGGATTACTCGTATGTTGAGGTGCTCCTAAAGTCAATTATTGGCCCAAATAGAGTATCCAGCCTCATGAATTTTGATAGTGCCAGACATGCTGATAAGATTATTAGCTTTATGCATTAGATTAACCCATTTTGACTTACCTGAAGATAACTTCATTTAAATTAATAGGTCATTTGTTGACATTTTTCGTATTATTGTCCATGGTTTTTTTAATTTCCTCATTTAGGCCTGTTCATTATGAGACAAAGTCAGTGGAATACTTCATGCTGGAGAAAATCTTTGTACGCAAAGTCGATGGCTCTTTCCTATTTCAATATGTGACATCAGATTGCAATAGACTTAGTAGCGAAATTTTAACAAACAAAACCATAACATTCAAGTGTTGGCTTGTAGGGATTTGGGTTGATTGGTTACAGGATTCGATAATGAGCTGACATTGGTCAGAGAACCATTGAAAAACATGGGAGTACTCGACAGCTGCTTCGTCCTAGTTTGTGACTCTTCATCAGTACGCACCTACTGGGGTTCGAACCCAGAACCTTCTCGTTACAAGGCTGGCAGGCTCGTATACCATTAAGCCACTTGGACCCGATCTAACGGCCCATGAATTCGAACTTCCGCCAATGTCTTCGGTGAGTATTTGTTCTCACACCTGACCCGCTGTACCCTACTGTTCACAACTCTTCACTAGAACCCCAGGTAACTACCTACCTAAATAAGGCCAGTCGCCAGTGAGTATCTCATTGATATTCAAGTATTCTTTTGTAGAGATTTGGCTGATTTGAAGGTAGTTACCTGGATTTCTACTGGTAAGTCGTGACCAGTAAGGTGCAGCAGGTCGGATGTGAGGACAAATACTCACCGAAGACACTGGTAGAAGTTAAAATTCATAGGCCATTAGATTGGGTCCCAGTGGCTTAATGGTCTACGAGCTCGCCTTGTAACCAGAAGGTCCTGAGTTCGAACCCTGGTCGGTGCGTACTGATGAAGAGTTCCAAACTAGGACGAAACAGCTACCCAGTACTCCCAGGCTATCCAATGGTTCTCTAACCAATGTCAGCTGATGATGAAATCCTGTAACCAAAGAACTATACCATACTTATACATTTCTAGCCACATATAATGTCAGTCATGTCAGCGGATATGCAGTGATCCAGTGAGCAGTCACTCCAAACAGCTGAAAAGTGAGAACAATTATGAATTTATTTGAGGTCAATCTCCATTAATTCTTTATTTTTTATATTGTTTTTCTTATATATTGCATGGTACATAGTACCAAGTGTTATATATTCTTATAAGACTCTACGTAGATATTTTTGTGTAGGTGTGTGTATCAATGTTTCGAAGAGTGAAATGCATATATATTTGAGCATGAGTATTTTTACGCATACCACTAGTCTAAGTAATAAGTGTTGGATTTTAATTCATTCCTATGTAAGTTGTGCGCTTTCTTTGGTTTGTCAGTGACTGTCATTTAATGGAAATCGCAAATGGATTAGTCCTCGTTCACCTTCTTAAGTTTATGGGATGTGGGTTACTTCACACTTTCGCTAAATTTCTTATATATATATATATATATATATGAGTATTAGCAATCACACTGAGTAACATGACTTAACGAATGCGTGAACTGTCCCAATTTCGACAATACGTTGGTGCAGCTGATAAGTTGTTTCCAAATAAATCGACAAAATATCGTTCCGCCTAACACTTGTAATGCATTTCTAATTCTTTAGATCGAAGGAACGTGCTTGCGATGGGTTGGTGGTACATTGTAACAATCGTTTCCATGTGAGTCTCACATTCTAGTATTTGTGCAATTTCATTATATGTGTATTATATGTGTTAGTCAACTTGATTACAAGCAGAGACCTCAACTAGACTAAAGTTGACCAATTCGTCTGAGGTATGAGATTCTGTGATGGCCAGCAGTAAAGTCTGTTGAATAATTCATGCCAGGAATACATTTGTACCACTGTCTGATAGACGATAGCGAAATTTGATATGCTGTCATAAATTAATGCGGATTTATACATTTGCTAATAAGTTAAGATCACTGAAGTGCACTGATCAATTTCATATTTGTCTTTCAGAACATTTATTTTTGTCGTCAGTGTAACACTGTGCTTCATGTTCTGGAGAAACTGGGAAACTGCCCGAATATTTCTCGCAGCAGTGGTGAGTTCTCAAGAAGATCAACTTGATAAGTTCTCTTTGTTTACTAATGATCATTTCACGTTTGTTGAGCACTTTCAAATCGAGTTAAGACTTAATTTATGTCGACAACGAAGCATGTTGAAATGGACTACTTTTAATGAAACCTATCTTTAGTGTTTCTGTGTGTGCAACTTGTATTAACATAATACGATTCTGTCATTCAACATATGAAGACTTGTAAAAATGAGAGACATCAGAGTCACTCTGGGGACATAACTGGAATCTACTCGAATTCAGTTCATGTAATATATAGGACAACATTTTGTTGTTACCACATATCACATCTACGAATGGTTAGTCACCAGGTTCGCTAGTTCACTGATCGCATTCACAACACCAGCGTATTGTATGAGTGCTGTAAATCTGGTGAACAGTTGTGAGGGTACAACTATGAAGTGACTCCTGAACCAATGTTTGAGGCAGAAGTGATTCTTTTGCTGAGACGTTCATCTATCGTCAAGACATAAATTTATGCATTCATATCAGTTGGTTCCAGTGTCAAGGGGGTAAACAATTAATAGTTGAGTAGCAGTTATTGTCTTGTATAATGTTGTTAGTAGTACACAGTCGAAGTAGTGAGCACAGCGCAGCATACTGCCGATTTTGGTGTGACTTGCTTTTGAATTTAGATGAAGAGTAATCTGTATGAAGACCAATCAATCTACTGTATTTATTTATATTTTTTAATTTACTTTGCCAACAGCTTCTACTGTGGTCAGCAGATGTCTGCTTAACAGAATGCAAAGACATCACATCAAAGTGTTCTCCTCTAATCGACTTCATTGTTTTGGAAGATTTATTAACAATTATTTTCTTATTCATGAGAAGAAGATTGAAAATAATTGTAACTGTTGTATCGGCTGTCTTAGCGGTTATTTTTCCGTTGATTGGCACAATTTTTATATTTATACCATCGCATCAGGTAAGTGAAATGAAATGTTAAATGACGTGTTCTATACCAACGTTTGTTGTTGTAATCCCTTGAAGTGATAGAATAATTTAATTATTCAAATGGAATTTCAAATATCCGTCAGTCTCTGCATTCGAGAAACGTAACACTTACACATTTCAGGGGCTGAAGGAAACAAAACAACGCTATGCGGTAGACAATCACCGTGTGACGTATTCATAACTGAACGAATATTGACGTTCACATTATTATAAGTTCTAAGTGGGTTAGTAGAGGCGGTAAATTCCCCTCTGGCTTCCCATTTACGAAACCAATCAGTGAACGATATTCGAATGTCACCCTCGCCTTCTCTGTCATTCCTCCATCCAAAAATCATTGTGAAATCAAAAAACAATTATACACAACATGGTGGAGACAAAGACGGACACCTGAAATTTTGTTTACCGAGACATGTGGAAGGAATCACTTAGCTGTCGTTTAAGATATCTAGGAATTATACTCCAGTAGAGTATTACAATTAGTTGACAACCAATCACTCACATCTTTCTGTGAAATAAATGCACTACTCAACGCTTTGTCCAGTGGCAGGTAGTTGGCTTGGAATAATCTTATAAAACCTCCACACTATGTAGGCATACACATGGTATATACACATACTATTTTAAGTCGTCTCCTCTCTATTGCCAGGAAAATGTAGACATCACATAGTTAGATATTAAATGCAACCAACAAATATGGTGAATTGTAGATATGTTGCAACATTTCACCTCTTATTACTAATTATTCTAATCCGGTTTCTGGAAACTATGTTGTGAAAGTCTTCATTTAGGTTGAGGGAGTTCAACTGATCTTCTGAATACATATTTATTCTAGTCCATTTTTAGTGGCGTTTTCGTACTGGCACCCAAGCACTTCAACTTGTAGCATACATGAGCTTTCTGAAACTCGTCTCTTTTGTGGCCAAAAATAACTGCTTCATTCAATTTTTATTCTGTAGGATGTTTACAGAATGTTGGCGGCCGGCTCCTTCCACACATCTATGTGTTTGGTAAGTTCAGACTAATTTCTCTATCCCTGAATCGGCGGTAGGAATATTAGACTGGTAGCATTCCTAGCAAATTTGAAATACATTTCCCACTGAGAATAGCAATAAATCGAGGAAGAAATATACTCCTTTACAATTAGGTTTTCGTCACTCCTTCTACACTGATATATAGTTTTCCACATCATTTATACCGAGCATGTATTTATTTTAGTCAATCAGAATTATCAGATTTCGGAGTAAAAGGAGGTAGGGATGGAAACCACCACAATAATTAACTAGTAGATGTTAGTAACATGATGTCTGAATTTCGATAAGGTGAGGTGGAAGTCATAGTGAAATCCGAAATCTCTTATTTCGAGGAGGAAAACAACAACAACATTTTGTAATCATGACATTTCTGGAATAATGATGACTAAGAAGAATAGAATGACCAAGTGGATATACGTAATAATACTAGGACACAAAGAAGTTGATTAAATTGCCTAGAATTGTACTCACGATTAAGCAAAATATTCGGAAGATGGTTACCACAGAAATCCGTTGTAGAACTTACTATATATTATGTAAATAGCAAAAGCAAAGAAAGGGGCTGTAGAAATTTTGTTTTCTGAACACGCAGATTCAGCCGCTCAGATGAATTCTTATTGCCTCTACTATATATAAATGTCGTATTCGTAGACTATGTGACAGTTTGGTTGAAATACGATAAATAAATTTAAAAGCTTTGTCCGTGTGAACGTGACATCCAGTATCCAGACAAACGAGCTAGTGCTGAGTTGGATATTGATTAATTCACAGCTTTTGTCAAACCTGGAGTGGGGGTGTTCAGAAATTCGACGGTGAACATGTCTGATCGGACTTCCAATGTAACCAGTACATCTCGCCCACTTAAGCTTTAAACGGACAATAATTACTGATTAAGTCAACCGCTCGAATGGTCTAATTTTGATTTCAAACTTATGTATTAGTGTACAGTTGATGACAAGGAATTCATTCATTCACTAAATTCGTTGTTTCTTTAAATGTGTCAATGGTAATTTTCAAATCGCTTCACAATCCCTTGTTAACTAGACAGAAGACAGAAGGTTAACAAGTCTATTCCATATTAGTTAAAAACTTTCATGTATTTATGCTGTTTCCCTTTTTTTTCAGATCATAGCGAATTTTGCGAACCTGCGTAAATAAGTTTGATATCAGATGTCTATGTGTCAAAGTGCTTTGCGATTTTGTTTGCATGATGTTTGATTTCTGATAACTCGTTCACCAGTTTGTGCTTGTATGGATGCATGGTAATTCACATACCAAATATTGAATAAACGAAACATTGTATGACAAGAACCTTATACTTTTATTTTCGCAGAAGAGGGAATATTTTGTGAACCGTCAACTGTTGTATGGGTGTTATTTCACGGATCCTTATGATTCGGCGATGGCATTTCATGCAATCTTATTTCAATGAAGCCATATGAAAACTGTATATTCACTGATGTATGGCCTTCAGTGTAAGTCGTGTGTCATGTTACAGTCATCAGTTGATTGGTTTCCGCCTGCAAAGCTTCAGGTTTATATGCATTTAGAAACAAATCGTCCGCAAAATCCAGATCTTCTAGTGTCTTTTTATCGGTACAGTGTATTCTTGTCTCCACCTATCCTTTCACTCTGTCGCATAATCCAATCTTGCACAATCAGGAATATCATCGTGGATAGTAGACAGCCTTCTCTTACTTCTCTCTTCACTTCAAATACTTCACTGGGTTTTCAGTTGTCAATTACGTTCCTGACACGTACTACTAACGTATGGTTATTGAATAAGGTCCTTGAAGATTTGAGGCACTTTATTTTGTTGAATTAGTTCCCAAATTACTTCGCGATCAACATCATACACCGGCTGAATGAATTTCAGAAAGTTTCGCGTAAGCCAATGGATAGTGGTGAACCTAATCACTCTCTGGTTCACCATCTTCTTTCAAGCCCAAGTAGTTGAGGTGAACAGTTGTCTACCCTACTGTGTTCTGTTCGATTATGTTACGTGTGTACAAAGCAGACACATTGCAGCTAAATCGCAGAATAAACGACAGTTTATTCATTGTAGTGTATGGTGTTAAGGACAACGTCTGCACTACTGAAGATGATTTCTAACTCGATTTAGAATTCTTCTTCAGGAATGTTGCTTTATATTAGATATTCGTGAAATGAAAATCATGGACCATTGTCACAAACTGGTGGACGACATTATTTGTTGCAACTGCTCTTGTCTCTTCATTTCGTAATTTGTTTTCGAAGTATCATATTACTTAGTAAGAATTGTTTCATTTTTGATTTAAAATTCAACGTAAATATTTATGTGTAGGACTTTGAATCGATGTTTTGTAAAATGAAATAGAAATATTTTAGGATGAGTATTTTCTCGAATGTGATATGATTAACTATCAGTGTGAGATGGGATTTCACCCACTGCTACATTATCCACTTTACACGGTTAGCCTGTAATAAACACCTCATGGTTACCTATGTGAAATCCCATAGGTGACAGTGCTATTGAGTTTTCCTTAAGTCAACGATTGCAAATTAACTTACTATTACGATTTGTGTGAATATCACGTTCACCATTCATCATCCCATAGGTGACAGTGCTAGTGAGTTTTCCTTAAGTCAACGATTGCAAATTAACTTGCTATTTCGATTTGTGTGAATATCACGTTCACCATTCATCGGTGAATATTTAGGAAAATGATTACATTCTAATCGTTATCAGCTCTTCCCAAGATATCAACAGTGGGCACATAGGTTATATCTCTTATATTTACTAGACAAATGTTCAATTTAATTGCAAGTATGTAGATAATTAGTCGAGAGGAATCTTTCTAAATATCATCATCACTAACATCATGGTCGCTGTAATGATCACTGTTTGCGCCTCATGATTTTCAAGTGAAAGTATCACTCGTCCAGCTTTCAGTTTATAACACAAAATCCGGTGATCTCATAGCTAAATAACATGAGTGCTGCCACCAAAATATTTCCAAAGAACAGCCATTGTATCTTGTCAGTCAACTTTACAGATTTATAAGACTTTATGATTTACCAAACTATCCCAATTTGAAAATCTAAGCGCATATAATCAGCGGTTTATAAATGAAATATCAGGAACGTAGTATGAGTCCCGGCAAAATGCCGTCCTCAGAAAATGTTTTACTAACGGGCCCTACTTGAAGAATCGACCTGATGCTTTCAGGATCTATGAACAATACAATTCCAATAATTGACTCCAGTATACTTTGAATGGTGTCAGTCTTGAAACACCTGGTAATGAACACCACAGATTCAGCCATTCTATGTAAACAAAGAATTTATCTTTGGACATGTGTCACCGATATAGTTCAGTTAGCATCGATGACGAAACAGCATGAGGATCAGATTATCGCATAAGGAGCTAGTGCAGGTCAGGAAAGTCAAGAAGTGAAGTCTTTGTCTGTGACACTCAGTGATATGGATTTGACTTTGATTGTGAAGTTCACTTGTCCCACTGGTGTCTCAGACAAACTTTGTTGATGGTTGCCAATAATGAAGTAATTCACTCCTTAGTCTTCAAACAGTTTCCTTCACAGTTTGAGAAAAGCCACAACTTTAATGTCAACCTCAAAATGTCTGCTTTGCAGTCACCGAACTATTCAGTCAACATGAAATATGTTTGTATTACAGATAGCACTGATTACAACAACCCTTGTTTCTTCATGCAATAATAATTTTCTTATGTGATGATTTTCAGTCGATCAGATACTAAAAAATAGTTGATTCTCAGCTACAAAAATGCACTGTAATGTCAGAACACTAAGTAACGCACAAAGAATGAAATTGTTTAAGTGAAGACTGCAACGACTTTGGTGAATACTGCCCTAATTAATATGGAAGCCAACTGACGGACAGAAGAAGCAGCTGAGGCAGGACTTTGAGTGAAAACGAAGAATACCGAGTAGCTAACGATACCGACCGACCTACAATAGTCATCGCTGATCACAATCAACAGGAGTGACTTGAATGGAAACGCTAACCACATCTGAGTTGTTTTAACTGCAGTTGGCTTAGATGACGATTCGAAAACAGAATCACAGAGGCAACACAGACCTTCATTACTTTGCGGTCAGTGGGGAAATCTTTTGCAGTGTGTACATTGAACATGATGTGGATCGTTTGGCTCATCCTCAAACAAATGTGCTGTGGTAAATGGAGACAGATGGAGACACACACTGAGGAAACCGTTAAATGACATCGCGCGCAATGGTCTCTAAAAGAAGACAAATACGAAACGACGACTGAGGCGTCCAAAAGTGACATGGAGGAGGTTGCCCGAGGAGAAGATGAGAGACTACGAGTTATCATCAGGCTCACTACAGAGGATACAGATAATAAGAAAAAGAGTAGATGTGGCGTTAAAGTCCCGTGTTCCACTAGGAACCCAAGTGAATGATAATAACAAATATTCCCCTATCCACATGCTTAACATGACATCAGAGAACGATGACTGTGATTTATTAATAAAGTCTGCTGCAGCCTTATATTTCATAGTTGATTCGCCTTCAGGAAATTTTTCACCAATATTAGTGACAAACTACAGCAGCTCAAACTATCTTCTGTTCAGAATAATTTCAGCGCTGAGTCAGTTTGATTCATTATGAAATTACTAAGAGTTATGTCTCAATCTTAGTTGCCGGAGTCATATACAGCCTCATATCTTCCAAGAATAATTATGAAAGTCAAATTACACTAATTTTTGTGTACTTTTGTGCGTTGTAAAGTGTGAGAAAATAATCGTATGTATCATGTAAATACTCGAAATTCATTAAAAAAAAATTCCTTTGAGTTTAATTCACTCTAATATTATTCTTTAAATTGAAACCTTAGTACTGAGGATGAAGTCTTAGGATGTGAAATAACTTTGACCATTCTAAATTTTATTGAGACACTTTGAGTATTTCAGTTGTGCACTTAAGATTGTGTATACT